CCTGTGTGATCCCAAACCCCTGTACCTGTGTGATCCCAAACCCTCTGTGCCTGTGTGATCCCAAATCATCTGTGGGATCCCAATCCCTCTGTTTTTCAAACTTTTCAGCCTTGGCAGGGTTCCCTAAAGAAACGAAAATTCCATGTCAAAACCCAGCTCCTTGAGGAAAATGAAAACTTCGGAGATGACAACGTCCAAGTGCTGCCAACCCCAAACTTGAGTCTGCTTCTAAAGGGTTTTTAATTAATGAAATTAAATATTTCCAGCCCCTAACTTGGAGCTGCTTCTAAAGGGTTTTTAATTAATGAAATTAAAGATTTTCAAGTCTGCAGCTCAGCCCCGCTGAAATCCCAGGGATTTCTCTGGAGACAGGAGATCCTCGGCTCTGCTCCTTCTGTCCTGGAAAGCCGAGGAGGGTGAAGTTCCTCTGGGAAGTTTTATGGACAGTGAGTGTCAGGCTGCCTGACCCCAAAGGAAATGTTTATTCCTGCAGGAATCTGTAAAACTGGGGGAAATTTCTGCCATTCCAGCCCTTCCCGGTGAGTTTGCAGGGTTTGGGTTCTCCTTCCATGTTTCCCAGGAGCGGAGGAAGGACAGGGCTGGAATGTGTTGCTATTCCAGTCTCCACCAGTGCCATTTCTGCCATTTTGATTTGACTTCTTCTATTTTTTCCATTTTTCCCCCTTCCACACCTTTTTTTCCTAACCAGCTGCTGGGACTCTGCTCTTTCCCTGGATCCAGGCCTCCCATTCCAGGGTTTCTGGAGTGTTTGGGGATGCCTGGGGGCACTCTGTGGGTAGCTCTGCACAGCCAGCCCTGATGTTTTCACTCAGCCGTGCCCAAGCCCCGGATTTTGGGGTGGGGCAGAGTTCTAGAGGGGCTTTTTCCCTGCTTGGGGCTGGATTTCAAATCCCTGCTGGCACCGAGACTCTGTGGCCAGGTTTGAACCTGGGGAGGGTTTTTGGGGCTGGGGAGGGCACAGCTCCTCTGACTGAGGAGTCAGAGCCTCCCTGTGAGTCCTGTGGGGTGCTGGTTGTTCTTGATCCCACTCAGACCCTACAGGGCAGTGAGGTTCCTCTGACTGAGGTGTCAAACCCTCTTCCTGTGAGTCCTGTGGGGTTCTTGTTGTTCCTGATCCTGCTCAGACCCCACAGAACAGCTCTGGAGGTTGCTGATTTTTTTTGGTGTAACAAAGCTGAACTTTGTCAAACCCAGCAGAAGAGGGACAATTGCCACCCCTCCACGTGTGACATTTGACCATCCCTGATCCTCTCCTCCAGCACCTCAACTCTCTCTTGGGGAAAGGGCTGCAGTTCCTGCACAGGGTGGCCATTCCCTGCTCCTCATCCCTGATTCACAAAAGGAGAGCAATGAACTCCTGGGGGCAGGAGAGGAGAGCCCAGGGCTCAGCAGGTGGATTCTCTCCCTGCAGGGACTTCAAATCCACCTGGAGGTGGCACTTAGGGACATCCAGTGGTGGCCTTGGCAGTGCTGGGAATGGTTGGATCCATGATCTCTGAGGGTTTTTCAACATTAAATTCTCTGCTTCCATGATTTGCTCAAGGACTAAATCCCACCAGAAACTCCTGGGAGCTGCATCCCTGCCACCCTTGGGAGCCTCTGGAAAGGTGTCCTGATTTGAAAGACAGGTGTTTGCTAAGAAAGGCAGGACCCTCTTTTTTAAATGGAGAATGTAAACCCCCTCCCTCCAAATTATTTTAACTTGAAATTCAGGGGCTCTCAGGCAAAGATATGGGAATAGGAATAACAGTTCTTTACTAGGAAAATGACAATAGCAATGCAGTATTGCAGAGAACAAACCCAGAGCAGGGGCAGAGGGAGAATCCAAGGTGCCCCCGTCAGTCAGGCAGGGTTGGTGCAGTCCCATTCCATGGTGGCTGCATCCTCCTGCAGTGACAGATGTGGTTCTGCTGGAGCAGGGCTCCTGCACAAGGTGCAGTTTTCCTCCAAAGCTGCAGGGATGATGTGCAAGGCTCTGGTTTTCCTCTGGGATGCAGTGGGAAAAGGCTGCTCTGCTGTTCCAAATCTCCCCTTTGATCTGGGTAGGAAATGCTCGGCTCCTGCCCTGGCTGGAGCATCTCCCAATGGGATGATGGAATTTGATCAGCCCTGCCCTGGGACTGCATGGCCATGAACAGGAGAGATCTCCTGGAGGGAGGATGGGCTGTGGGGAAGATAAAGAACACTGCAACAGCTGGGTGAACAGCTGGGGGTGGAATACACAGCCCTGGTCACATCGTGTATTGCCACCCAGGACAAACGTCCTTTAAACCAGTTCCAAGTCCTTCTAGACCAGCTCCAGGCGAGTCATGGGGGCATTTTCTGCTGTCCCACCATCCACCTGCAACATCAAAGGGACACGGGCTTGGTTTGGGATCGTGGGAGCTGATCCCACCCTCGCAGGGAGATCTGGGGGTTTGTTTTAAGGATCTCAACTCCAGGGGTTCCATCCCCCATCCCAGCTCACCTGGTCTGGATGCTTGACCAGAGAATAAATGGTTTTGGAGCAATTCCCACCCAAGGGTTTGGCTTTAATTCCGTTAGAGACGTACTGGGGGGAAAAGGGATCTTTAATATGTTTTAAGGCTCAGTGGTGGGAAAAAAAGATCCCAAATCCAGAGATCCCTCAAAGATCCACGTCTGGAAGTGTTGCCCCATGCCAAGGTGAGGCTGGAGCATCCTGGGATGTGGGAATGATCCCTGCCCATGGAATGGATGATTTTAAGCTCCCTCCCAACCCCTAAAATCTCATTTTTCCTCCGGTTCCTCCCTTTGGGAGTTTTTGGGGCTGGGCATGGAGTTTTGGGGCAGTTCAGGCGCCCTTGGGCCACCTCCAGCTGTGGCACATCCCCCTTGGTATTCCCAAATGAAGCCAGGGATTGTCCAGCTGTCCCCACGGTGTCCCCACAGTGTCCCCGGGGTGTCCCCAACCCCAGAGAGACCCCGGAGAGGACACGGATCCCTGTACTCACCTGCTGGGAAGGGCCCACCTTGGTGTACAGGGTCGTGGATGTGGCCTCTGAAATGGGGGGGAAAGCAGAAATTTGGGAATTTGGGATGCAGAAAATTCCCCTGGAGGGAATCCCAACCTCAGGAGTTCAGGATTGGGTAAAACCAAACCCATCGGAGCTGCTGGAGTGGGAATTGCTCCTCATCCCACCCTCCCTGGGCTCTGTGGGATCAGGATGAACTTACAGCACCAAGGACAGGGAAAATCCGGGTGGTTTTTTTTATTTATTTAGATCCCAATTCATGGCTGCTTTTGGAAGCCAAAATCCATTTATTTCTCCTTCGGGTGATCCCCTCACTTCCCATGCAACAGACTGGGGAGAGGGGGATTTAAATCCTTTAAAATCCCATTTGTGGGTCTGAATTTCCCAGTGGAATTCCTGGATGTTGGTCTGGGTGGGGATTGGGCATAGCTTGGGCTCAGCAGTCCTGGAGGGATTTTCCAACCTTGGGGATTCTGGAATTCTGGGCTGGATTAACCCTAAATCACCGAGTTGAATTCCCTCCAAATGTCTCTTTCCAGCTTTTATTTTTCCCCAAATTCCCTCTTTTTTTTCCACAATGCCACGGCTGCACTCCCAGTTCCCTCTTGGGGGTCTGGGATGAAGTTTTCCACCTTTCCTGGTGGCTATTCCCACCAGGAAAAAGAGCAGGGAACTGCCCCAAAATCCCACCTGTGTCGGTAGGCTTGGATTTGGAGGGACAGAATTTCCTACAGGCTGGGGGAGATGCAAAGAATTAGGAGAAACCCAAATTCACCTCAAATCCACCCCAGATCTGCTCCAAATCCACCCCAAATCTGCCCCAAATTCACCACAAATCCACCCCATCCTGGCTCTGCGCCCCCTCCCAGCTCCCAGCTCCTTCCCGGGGCTCCAGGGATGGTTTTCCACGCTCACCTCTGGATTTGCAGAAGTGCAGGAGGAGAACCAGGAGAGCAGATAAAAGCACCTTGACTCCAACCCCGGCTATGAGCATGATCATGAACCTGCTGCTGGAGAGGGCTCCTGGAAAAGGGAGGAGATCCACTGGCAACATCCCAAAATAATCCTGGCTTTTCCTGGCATGGGGAATTTGGCCTCGAATCCCTCCCTGATCCTTCATTTCAGAACTCATTGGCTTGGAGGAATCAATGACGGGAGAATCCCAAAATCCCCAAAATTCCCAAAATCACAAAATCCCCAAATCCCACAGTTGTTGGGTTGGGAAGGAATTCTGGAGATCTCCCAGGACGGGGTGACCCAGAGCAGGGGACACGGGGACACAGCCAGGTGGCTTTGGGATGGCTCCAGAGGGGGAAGCCGGGGGTGGCCATGGGATTTGGGGTAGGGCTTGTGGCCACCACTCCTTGTCCTGTCCCTGGGAGCTCTGGAAGAGCCTGAACATTCCCTGGGAAGGGATTTTGGGAGGAGCTGAAGGGTGCTGGGCTCAGCCTCCCTTCCTGTCTGGACATGGAAAAGCTGCCCCGGGCACTTGGGGACACTTGGGGACACTCGGGAGCACGGCTGGATGTTGCAGCTCATGGGGGCTGGGAGGGTGTGTGGAGGTTTCTGGAGAGGGAAGAGAGCAGGGACAGGGGTCAGAGCTCCTGCTGCATCCCGGGCAAAGCCAGAGCCCTGGAGAGGGGGATCAGCCCAGCCCAGCCCCCAAATTCCCAACTTTTCCTGGCTCTCAGGGGAGCAAGATCAGCCCATCCCAACCCCAAATTCCGACCCAAAATTCATGCCTTTTCCTGGCTCTCATGGGAAGTGGGATCAGCTCATCCCAGCCTCAACATTGCCATCCCAAATTCCCACCTTTCCCAGGCTCTCACCTGTGCAGAGCACGTTGGGGGTGGTGACAGTGACTTTCCTGCTGCTGACGGGGTTCTGTGCCGTGCACGTCAGCGGCTCCTCCGAAGATGAGAATTTATTCACCCACAGCACCGTGGAGCCCTCGTCCCAGGGCCGATCTCCCACTCTCCAGGTGTAGGACACCTGCCCCAGGCCGGTGCCAGAGGTGGAGCAGCGCAGGAAGAAGTGGCAGCTCCCACCTGAGCAGTTCTGGGCCTCGCAGGTCACTGTGGGCTCTGCCAGCTTATCTGGAGGTACAAGGCTGTCAGAAATCGAATTTTTTTGTGTAAAAAACACCAAAAAAACACTGAAAGCACCTACTGTACACATGGAGGGTGAAGGTAAATGTTTTTCCCCCAATTGTCGCAAAGTAGATCCCTGAATCCTGCAGTGTCAGGTGGGAGACGCTGAGTGCACGGCCCTTCTCAGAGACAGCAAAACGCTTTGTGAATTTGTTAGTTGAAAATAAGGCTTGAGGAGGATCCTCAAATGACGCAACCACTATGGGATCATTCCCAAATCTCCAGAATGCATTTTCACCTGTCATGTCGTGGGTGCGGAAGGTCACGGACTCACCCACGGCTCTGATCAGATCCTTGGGGTCACTGGCGCTCGCTGGGGAGAGAAAGTGAGGAGAGAACGTGGGGTGAGGGTGAGATGGAGGTGGGATGGAGAGATGGAGGTGGGATGGAAGAGGCATGACAGTGAGTTGGAGGGGGGATGAAGATGGGATGAAAACCTGGGATGAAGGTGGGATGAAGGTGGGATCAAGGCAGGATGAAGATGCTGAACCCAGAGAACGAAGCCCATCAGGGCTGGGGCTGTTTGAAGGCAGAGGACTCCTGGAAGGGTGGGATGTCCCCATTCCAGGTGGGATGTCCCCATTCCAGGTGGGATCTCCCATTCCAGGTGGGATCCCACAAGACCCGAGATGAGAATCCTCCCACACTCCTTTGGATTCAGCCCAGGACAAGGTCCAAGATCCCTCTGGATCCCTCCCTCCCCTCCAGTGACCTTGGGTCACAAATTCAAGGAGGAAGGAGTTGTTTTCATCATTTTTGCAATTTCCCGTTTTGAAAAAAGAAAAAAAAAAACTGATTTAGTATGTTTTTGTTCCCAGTCTAGACTGGATACAGAATTTTTCTTTCCATTTTTTTGAACACGGAACTGATTCTGGCTCAGCCCTGAAGCTGGGCTCAGAATTTCTGTCTCTCTCAACTTCAGCCACCTCTGGGACACTGACAACAGAATTCCTCTGAACACGAGAAAGTAAAAACGGTGCGGTGAAGATTAACTTGCAGGAAATTTGCTGGTTAAAAATGCCACAGATTGGTTTGTGTGATAAGACCCCTCCCAGAGGCTGCATGGAAGAGCTGCACCAGACCTTGCTCAATTTCCCTCCTTTCTGCTCAAAAAACACCTCAAGACATCCAAAAATTGGGAGGCGCCGTGGAGAGGAGCAGGAGCGGAGCGGGATGTGTGGGCAACATCTGGCCCAGATGTGGGACCTGAGATGGGGCTGATCCCTCCCTTGCGAAGATTCCCAAACCAGGGGAGGGGTCGGGGCATCTTTATCCCCCCCCCCTTGGTTGCCCCATCCCTGGGAGGTTGCCCAGTCCTCCATCACTGTGGCCCACACGTCCCCACCTTCCTGGGGGGTCCCTAAAACCATCCCAGACCCCCCGTGGGCTCCTTGCCAAGGCACAAGGAGCACCTGGAGTGTGCAGAGGGCACAAGGGCAGAGCCTGGAGGTGAAATTAAAGGGAGGAAAAGCAATGAGGAATAGGAGATGTTTTGGAAAGGCTGGAAAAGTTCACTCTGAGCTCCCAAATCCAAGCTCAGTGACCTGAGCAGGATAGGGAGCTCCTGGCCAGGTGCAGGAGAATCCTGGAATTCTGGGAAGGTTTGGGTTGGGAGGGAGCTTGAAATGATCCTGTTCCACCCCATGGAACATTCCAGTGTCCCAGGCTGCTCCATCCTGGCCTTGGTCACCTCCAGTGATGGTGAATCCATGGAATAACCCCTGCTGGACCAGAGGTGGACACCAGCCCTCCATCACCAGGTTTCCACAGCAGCATCTTTCACCCTGGCTGCCAAATATTTGGCACAAATCCACCCCATGGAGCTGCTCTGAAAACAACCCTAAAACCACCCAAAACACCCCAAAATTTCCTCCCCAAGGGAAAAGGAGCACCTGGCACTTACTGGTTTGGTGGAGGAGCACGAGTGTGGCGAGAAACGGGATCCAAAATTTGTCCATGGGCATTTGGGGCACGGGGACGATCTGAGGCATTGAGCACCAGAAAGCAATGGCAACAGAGAGGAGGGACAAGAGCGCCTGTGCATGGCTTTGTCATGGGTGGAGAGAAAAGCTTGTGGTTGGTCTGTCACAAACCAAAATATTCAAGTTTGTGGTAAACTCTTAAAGGGTAACTTGAGGAGTTTATTTTAAGAAAATAACTGCAATTCCTGTTCTAAGCAAAGGTAGGAAAAGTTGAGGTGCTGCAGAAAAAAACAACTCAGTTTCTAAGGAAAGGTGAGGATATTTGGGATGTTCCAAAAATAAACCCAGTTCTGTCTCCAAGGAAAGGTGGACGTGGCAGCTGTGCCAAGAGTGTCATGGTGGCCACGTGTGACAAATAACTCAGGTGCTCCGTGGGGACCAGCCTGGATTCCAGCCTCCATTCCAGCCTCCATTCATTTCCTCAGCCTCGGCCATGGAGGAGCTGCTCCAGTCGCCCCCAAAGCCACCCATGGACATGGGACAGTGACAATTTGGGGAAAGCAGCCCTTCCCCCAATCCGGGTTATTCCGGGAAAGTCACATGTGGACGCCTTGTGGTGAAATTTTGGTGTCAGGGGGAAGTGAGATGGGACAGATGGAGCAAAAATTCTAAAAAAACTTTGGTTTCACTGTCCCAGTGAGGAACTGGGAGCTGCTGGCGCAGACTGGTTTGGGTTGGGAGGGACAGTAAGGACAAGATTTTGGGGCTGGAAAGGGGATTTGGGAGATGGAATGGGGATTTGGGGGATGGAAAGGGAATTTGGGGCTGGAATGAGGAGGATTTGGGGTCTGGAAGGAGGAAGATTTTGGGCCTGGAATGGGAATTTTGGGGCTGGAAGCAGGAAGATTTGGGAGCAGGGATTTTGGGGTTGCAAAGGGCATTTTGGGGTTGGATATTCCTCCCCAAACCTCCCGGCCCTGCAGCTGCTGGTGTCTCTGAAACCATCATAGACAAGTGTCACCAGTGCTCACTGCAAAATGAAAACCGAAACTTCCCCCAAAAAAACACGCTCTCCTGGGGCAATTAAAATGAATTAAAACTAATTAATGTTGATTCCCTGCGAGTTTTGGAGCTGAGCAGTGCCACCCACCCCGCATGTCCCCTCCAAAAGAGGGGTGGCCTGGGGGGGGCAGGAGGAGGAGGAGAAGGAGAAGGAGAAGGAGAAGGAGAAGGAGAAGGAGAAGGAGAAGGAGAAGGAGAAGGAGAAGGAGAAGGAGAAGGAGAAG